GTGTGTGTGTGTGTGTGTGTGTGTGTGTGTGTGTGTGTAATTAGGTCTCATCTTCCTAAGAACCATTATGGTTGGGGGTGTTTTATTCCCCAATACAGAAAAGTTATATAATCTTTCCTACTCTTTTGTCTCAAAAGAAGGGATTAACTTTTTTCCTTACCAATTAATCTATACCAGTGTTATAAAGTGATCATGGTAGATTGGTAGTAAGGGTTAGTTTCTAGAAATCTTTCCCAATTCTCCCAAATGTGGGAAGGGCTCTCATAAAGTCCTTTCCTTCCTCCCTTCTGTCTCCGGTACTCCCTACTCATTGGTGCATCAAGTCACACTTGGAGTTCCAAGAGAGCATGGCCTAGTCTGCTAACCAATAGACTCAGCTTATACTCCTCTGAAAGGTTCTCGGGGCTATTTTTGAATGGATGAATGAAGAAATTTGTAAACTGGCAGATGTAAGTTTGTATTTTGGATGCATTTCCAAAGTTAAATGTCCATTTATTGAATTAAGAAATTTGGCTTTAGCCTTATGTATAAACTTTAAAAAAAACTATATAAACTAATGCCAGTATCTTCATCATTGAGATGCTGAGGATTTGGAGATAGTTTGTATAATATAAAATATGTTACAGAGCACACTGTACATAACAAATACAGTAGAAGCCATGTGATAACAGAATTTAAGGAATCTAAGAGTTCATTTATCTCCAACCCCACCTCATATTAAAATGCTTGTTGAATGATTAATGTTGTGACATAGTGAGAGTGAGCACATGTACAATTCATACGTCATTTTTATGTATGACAGCAGCATATTAATAAACTGCACATATAAAATTTAAATAGTCCAGCTTGGACCACTATCATCAAAAACAGTGAAATATTTTGAGAACCAGTAATATTTTGCTGTGAACATCTCTCAAAATATGATGGTCTATCCTTCAGGAGGTTGAGGTTTATAGTTAAAGTCTTAAAATGCCTCATTTATGTGTGTAAAACATTTTCCATTTCAGGAGAAAATAAACCCAAAGAAGAAATTTTAGATGGCAAGTTATTGAGTAGTTGCATCAATAAAATGAGGCATCAACTATACTTTCTTTTCCCAGAAAAATCTTAGTATTCTTCTTTCAAACTAAAATATCTTCAGATGTATTTTATGATTTCTATAAAAAGAAACCTTTACTAAATGTGGAATTTAAAAGCAGAAAATGGATTAGAATCAATTCTTTTTTTTTCGGTACCGGGGATCAAACTTGGGTCCTTGCACTTGCGAGCCAGGCGGTGTAACCACTGAGCTAAATCCCCGGCCCAGGATCAAATCTTTATAAGTTGAATTCTTTGAGTATACTTATTGTGCCTCTTTGAAGTTGACTAATTTTATTTTCACTCTTAAAACTTATAATAAAAAAATTGGCCATTTCTCATTCAGTGAGTTTCTGAAATCTGAGAAATTTGGGGTCTCAGTTTAGGCTAATAGTCTGGATTTTCCTTGAAAGAGAAAAGAATAAGGAGAAAGTATCTTTTTGATCATTAATTTCTTTATAACAACTATTATATCTTAGAAGATCATCATGATAGAAAAACAAGGGTAGTATTTCACAAGTTTGTATTTAACCTAGCTTATTGTAATAATCATATAGTTATTGTGCTGGCCAAAGACAAAACTTTGTTATTACTTTACACTTGGGAAAACAGAAGTATGGAAAGGTTAAATAAGTTATGAGACTACAGCACCAGAAAGTGACATACTGTTATAGGGTAGTTTCTTTAGAAATTGCTCACCGATCAAGTCTTCCAGGTCTTTCTGGTCTTGAACAAAGAATTGGATAAGACAAGCCAAAAACGGTGTCAAAAGTTTATTTGAAAAGTGCAGGATAAATGGGTAAAGGAGAAAGCAGCTCTTCACACATGGGCCAAACAAAGAGAAAAGGAGGGTAAAAGCAAAAATAAAAGTACATAGGATGGGTTATCATAGAAACTCATGCATGATACTGGCTTTCTGTGATGGCCAGTCTTTTATGTTGTCCACATCTTGTGGGAGTTCGTGAGTTCTATATATTGGGTCCTGGTGTTGCCTTGAATCTTATCATTGACAAGCCCCGCTCATTTTCCCAGCCAGCTTCACCACACCCTATCTCCTATATCAATATGGGTTATGATACAGAACCCTCAAATCTCACAATTCTATGAGGTAGGGGCTATTGGTGTCCCATTTTCCAGATGGGCAGCTGAGGCTTAGATTGGTTAACAAAGTTATCTATAGTCACAGAGTTAGTAATTGTGGATCCAAATTCTAAATTCAATTCTGCCTAGTCCAAAATCTGATGTGTCTCTGGCCTCCAAACTTAAAAAAAAAAAAAAGTATTGTATGGCAGCCAAACCAGGTACATTTGCATAAATATAAGCTCCAAGTGCAGATAAATGCAAGTGCATAAATAATAAGCTGTGGGAATAGTTTAACAGGCCAAATGAGAAGTCAAATCTTAGGAAGAGAGAGTCCCAAAATTCTTAAAAAGGAAGCAGTTGAGAGATAGTGATAGAAAACTACCTCCATCCTGTAAAATATTTGTAGCTTACTGAGTAGGTTATTCTTTGTTAGGGATTTTTTTTTTCTTAGAATGAGAAATTCCTATTAAACAAATTAAAGATTTGAAGTCGTGATGAAGAGAAATTATCTATTGATCAATAGAGGAAACTGCTTTATTTAATACTAATTTTCAGTTAAGCTGAAAGTAATTCCCTTTCAGAATATATGATCTTAATTTTTTTAAGTAACAATAAAACTGTAGAGTGCAAATATTTGCTTACAATAACAAAAAAGGCTCTCCATTATGGATTTTAGACCTTTTCCTTGAGAACACTACAGTGTCTGTCACAAGTGGAGAAAAGGAAAGACATTTGCAAAAACAAGGTAGGGGAGGTGTGAGAAGCTCCAGTTGGAGATACCCCCAGCATGGTGAAGTGTGCATTGCAGTCCCACAAAGATCCTGTGTTCTTCCCTGAGTCTCCAGCCGTCCACACCACAGACACTTCCTGCGAATG